ATTTTCTTTTTCTTTTATTCGTTTGCGCTTTAAAGTTGATAATAGATTTGTAATTCGTTCGCTTATAAAAGTATTAGATTTAAGATCGTTAAACTTATATATAATAATTAACTTACTTTGATTTTGAATAACGATTAAAAGAGTTTTAAGTTTCGAAATATTAAGTTTCGAAGTTTAAGCGGCATTTAAAGTTCTATAAGATAGCGAAGCCGAGTCCGGTATTTTATTAGCTCCTTTTTTATTTATTATCTTTTTATTACTTTACTTAAAGCTTGATATTTCTTTCGCGTTAAAATAATTTTATCGAGAAATATTATTCGAATCGTTTTGATCGTATAAATTTGCTATCTTTAATATTTAAGTTAGAATTTATATTTAAATAAAAGCGTATATTATATAATATCGTACTTCGTTGCACTTTATTTTTGTGGTTTATATAGCGTTTAAAGCTAGTCGATTCGTTCGTACCGTTCGAATTTGAATTTTTTAAATCGTTTTCGTTTTTTATATTATTAAGAACGTTTTAATTTATATTATCTTAAGTTTGCTTATCGAAAAGTGTTGCACAGTATGGTCCTTGCCTCACGTGGCCTAGCACGTGCTCCCTTGCACGTGCCTGCCAAGCTCCTTAGAGGCCACGTACCACACATATACATATCTACAGTTGCTCCCGTGCTCCCTTGAATAGACCAGACACTTCTATCGCCATCTCTTAGACCTTGATCTGCTCCACTTACCTAGGTATACGCCCTCTGTCACCACAGTTAAGAGCCACACGCTTCTACGAGCTCCTTTTAATTATCATCAATACGGTATAGACTGCTTCGGTGGTTGCAGGATTATCGTCTTCTTTTTTTCGGTCGGTAGAAGTTGTTCTCCCTTCTGACGCTCGGAGCGTCCAGTAAGAGCTTTTCAAACCTTATTTTTTACCTCATTTTACACTCCACTTCGAGCTATTCTACGACATGTCACTCCATAGCGCCCAACACCTTACGGATCGAGCGTCATGGGTCGATTGGTTTATCGACTACAAGGCCGTTGCGATGATGAAAGGCGTTTGGAAGCTTGCAGACCTTTATTCGAAGGAAACCCAGCCTCACATCCTTTCCTTAGAACCGCCGGCACCACCTACGATTGACGACTTGATCATCAGGGAGAACGAGCGGAAGGATAATCTTATAAAGGAGTGGGAGGAGGCGCCTCTGGCTACTCGTAAGGACCGCCCAATGCTAGGGGGTGCGAGTTTTCAGGACGTCAAGGAGGAGTTTGCATACCGGTCGAGAGAGTACTCTAGGAAGGAGGCGCGCTGGAGCGCCTTGAACTCCAAATACTAGTACATGCTAGAGTGGGTGAATCAGACGGTCCCAAAAGAGCTGCTTCAGCCTCATAAGACTCGTCTGATTAAAGAGGAGGAGTTTTCATTCTAAACACTGGTGAGGTCTTTACGGGACCAATACGCAGAAGACGACGAATCGACGAGGGAGCATGTGCGAGACGAGTACCGTCGAATACTTAACGAAGGAGCTGCGGGGACTATTGAACCTCAGCAATGGATTCGAAATTGGGAGCTCGTGCACTCTAAGGCTGTCGCTTTGGAGCCCGAATTGCAAGATGTTGTCGGTTCTCTTGCTATAAAGGATTTCTTAAGAGTAATTGCTCAAAGGTTGGACCTTGCTTGGGGCAGTCGCTATCTAGGTCTTGTGGTCGACGCTATTAGTATAGGAGAAGCTTCCAAGTTGAAGAGCTTGAGAGACTACGCAAAGATGTTTGAAGGGCATCTACAGCAAGGAGGAGCTCGTGAGGGTGTGTTCGCTACACTTAACGAGCTCCCGAAAGGAAAGGTTTGCCCTTGCATGCGTACTCACTCTTGGCAGCCTTCTTCTTGCGACCTATTGAGGCTTGCTTCTACTGGTCAGAACCCGAGGAATCTCACAGTGTCGGAGCCGAAGCTTCAAGCTATTAAAGAGCGATTCTTTATGCCTAGCTACGAAAAGCTGAAGGCGAGCTTGGAGCTCTTATGGAGGGAGAATGGAGCTTCTACTAGCGAGGGCAGGTCCAAATACCCTGGAAGTGTAGCTGCCTAGGAAAGGCCACTTAGGAGCAGGTCTATAAGGGATTGGAGCCGCTCGCGCACGCCGGAAGAGTGGATTGGGCCGTAGCCTTAGCGCTGCTGGAGGCTTATTGAAGCTTGGAAACCGTGTGGAGCTTGCGAGGGGGAGGTGTAGTGTGAGGAATTTGGGACGCCTGCTTCAACTACAAGTTCTTTTATTTGAGTCGCTCTTAGGGGGTGGAGGTTTAAGTTGGCGAGTCTTTGCGACGGCAGGCGGACCCACCTTGCACCTTGCCTTGAGGACTATTGGCTGTTGCCACTTTAGGGAGGCTCGTTGCAGCTTACTGGCGCTGGCGTGCTCTTATTTCGTCTGCCCTTTGCTTGGGAGCTTGTAAGCTCCGTTCATCTTTTGGCTAGATTTTCCTTGGGTTTTTTCTTTTGTTTTTTTTCCCTCTTTCTTTGGGCGAGCCTTTGTTAGTTGAGCAGTCGCTTCGCAACTGGGGGGTGTGTTGCACAGTATGGTCCTTGCCTCACGTGGCCTAGCACGTGCTCCCTTGCACGTGCCTGCCAAGCTCCTTAGAGGCCACGTACCACACATGTACATATCTACAGTTGCTCTCGTGCTCCCTTGAATAGACCAGACACTTCTATCGCCATCTCTTAGACCTTGATCTGCTCCACCTACCTAGGTATACGCCCTCTGTCACCACAAAAAGTAAATCCGTAGCTACTTTCGATTGATTTACTTTGCTTGGTTTTCTTTATAAAAAATATAATCGATTTGCTACGACTTTGCTTTAAGAAGCGGAAGAATGCGCTTTGTATAATCTTATATGATAATTAATAAATCGATTAGTAAATCGATAAAAGGTAAAAATATCGCAAGTAAATTAACTTACTTTTTGAATGCCTTTCGTAATTTAAAGACTTTCCGTACCGTAGCTATTGCATTTTAAACGAAACATTTTTATTAATATTTTAAAACTTATTTAAGTTCTCTTTTATTTAATATAATTAATAAATATTTATAAAATCAATATTATTTAAACTTACGTGATTCTCGCACTTTAGCTTTTAATATTATCAACTTAACTTTTCGTTGCTTAAAATTTATTATTCGAAAATCTTAATCGATCGTAAAATTATCGCAAGCAAAGATATATTTAAAATAAGATAAGCTTTGAAATTAACGATTTTGCTATTTTTAAAACTTTTATACTTTTTATTCGAATTCCTTTTTAAGCTAAATCTTATTTAAATCATTATAATTTATTAAAATCGATTCGAATAAATGCCGAGCTTTATTTAAGCGAATATTACACATCTTAAAATATAAAGCAGTTATTTTTTTTGCGATTATTAATAGCGATAAATTATCGCGACGATAATCGCAAATATCTTTTGCAATATTAAATACTTTTTTTACGTAAACACTAATTAAAAAGATACATAGAAAATCTTTAGCTATTCGAGCTAGATTAAAGTATCGAGGCTTAAGGTTTCGCTAAGAAGTTAAAATCTTTCGTCCGTCGACCGCTAAACTTAATTAATAAAAATTAATAAAATTAAAGTTTTAAATTAAAATTTTAAACTTACGAGCTGAAAAATAATTATGCATTTTCGACGACTCGTGATTTATATCTTCGAAAAAAGCTTATAAAAAAGAACTTAATATTAATTTGCCGCGAAGTAATAAAGCGGCTATCGATTGACGATCGATTGCTTTGATATTATTAATACGTTGAGTTATAAATATTAAAGACTTATAATATTCGTTAAAAAGCTTTTCGAATCTCGCTCGATATATTGCAAATCAATTTTTACTTTCGTAAAGCTAAGAAAAATTTAAGTCGAAAGTCTTTAATTTAATAATAAGATATAAGATTATCGCGAAAGTAAAAATATTCTTTAACGGCTTTTGCGTTTTCTTATAATACTTATTTAATTTCTCGATAGCATTGATAACGCTTTCTTTTAATTGCAAGATCTATTCAAAATCATTACGATCTTTTTTCGAAATCTTTATATATTTAAACTTTAATCGTGCTTATGCTTTATTTAAACGTTCGAATATTTTATCGAATATTAAAAATCTATATTAAATAATAAAAGTAAGCTTTTCACTTAAGTGCATAATTAAAAAGTAAAACGGTCGAAAGATATCGATTAGTTATAAGATTTGCTTTTATTAAGTATTAGATAATTTAAAAATACTTATCTTATCGATCTTTATATAATGTTTTTAAATAACATCTTTGAGAGTTATAAATCGATTAAGCATATAGAATATAAAATCTTATCTTATAATAATATTTAAAACAAGC